CGGGGCCGGCTGGCGACCCGCGGGCTCCCGCCGCCGCCCCGCCCGCCGGCCCGCGTCATGCCGCCCCCTGCTCTGCTTTGCGCGCTCTGCTGGGGCCTCCTGGCCACCGCCACCCACGCCGGCTACTCGGGGGACGGCTGCAACTGGAGCGGCAGGTACGACCCCCCCAAGGCCGCGCCCCCGGGCTCCGGAGAACAAAGTGGACACAGCTGCCGCTGGCTGCGGGGGAGGGTGCAGGGCGAGCGGGCCGTGCCGGGTGGGGACGCGGGCCGCCTGCCTCAGCGCCTCCCGTCCTGTCCCCAGCGGCCTGACCCAGGAGCCGGGCAGCGTGGGGCAGCTGTCCCTGGCCTGCTCGGAGGGCGTGATCCAGTGGCTGTACCCGGCCGGGGCGCTGCGCCTGACCCTGGCCGGCTCCGGCTCCGGCACGCGCTCTGGCATCGCCTGCCTGCGGCCCGCGCGGTCCTTCGCAGGCGCCCAAGTCTTCGCGGAGCGGGCGGGCGGCGCCCTGGAGCTGCTGCTGGCCGAGGGTTTGGGCCCGGCGGGGGGCCGGTGCGTGCGCTGGGGTCCCCGTGAGCGCCGGGCCCTCTTCCTGCAGGCCACCCCGCACCCAGACATCAGCCGCCGCGTGGCTTCCTTCCGCTTCGAAACGCACGAGGACAGGTACCCAGAGCTGCCTCCACAGGCCCACGGTCTTGGTGCCGATGGTGAGTGATGAGCTGGGTGGGGGGTGGACCCGTCGTCCCCACTGTACAGGGAGAGCAACAGGCGTGAGAGCGAAATGGGTTGTCAGAGGCCACACAGCTAGCGAGGACAGGTCGGAGGGTCTGGAAAGGGGGCGGGCAATCCCTCATGATTCAGCCTAGGGAAAGAGCTAGCACTGGGCAGAATGGGGGAAAGGGGAGGCCGCGGGGACTCCTGGTCCCTGAGGGGTTGGGGGAGGGGAAGATGGCGGGACAGAATCAAAGCCTCCAGCCAAAGCTGTCCAGGGCTCCCTGGCCCGGCAGTGACCTCCCTCCCCTCCCCCAGTCCAGTACAACAAAAAGTCCTGTGTGCGGCCTGGTCACCATGGAGACGCTGCCTTGCCCCCCCCCCGCCCCCCCCGCAGGGCACCAGGCCCAGCTCTTTACTCTCTTAGAACTTGAAGCCTGACCCCACAGGGGATCTTTCTGTTCTGCACCCTGGCCCCAGGCCAACTACTCCAAAGCCCCTCCTGTCTCCCACCAGGTTGGGCTGGTGTCTTTGGGCGGCGGGAGGCAGCTCTGGGGGCCCGCAGGGTTCCCTCGTGCTGGTGTGCATATGTAAGATGGGTGCATGGGAGTGTGCCCCCAGACGCCCCCTGCAGGTCGGCGAGTCCCTGTGCCCGCGCGCTGGGCACGGCCCCTAGGCCCACGTCTGTGCCCGCACGAGCGTGCAAGTGTCACCCCGAATACAGCATGTCTTCAAGATGTGTGTGCCCGCCTGCTCCCTCAGGTCCCCCGTTGCCATCAGGCCGTGAGGGGAGGGTCTGGCGGCCTGCCCTCTCCCTCCTGCCTCTAGCTGGGGGGAGGCCTAGGGGGGTCCAGGAGAGGGCAGGACCTACAGTCGGGATCCCCCCTTCATGCCAGGTGTCTGTAGGCCCTGCAGCGACGCCGAGCTCCTGCTGACTGCGTGCACCAGCGACTTTGGTGAGTGTCCCCACCGCAGGGGGGTGGGGGCTGGGGTCTGCCCTGCCCTGCCCTGCCAGCCACTGGCAGCATGTCTCCCCGCAGTGATCAACGGAACCATCCGCGGGGTTGCCCACAACACAGAGCTGCAGGAATCTGTTATCACAGTGGCAGCTGCCCGTGTCCTCCGACAGACGCTGCCGCTGTTCCGGGTGGGGGAGTCCGGGGGCCAGGCCTCCATTCACACCCCGCTGCGCTGCGGCGTCCGTCCTGGCCCCGGCGCCTTCCTCTTCATGGGCTGGAGCCGCTTTGGTGAGGCCTGGCTGGGCTGTGCACCCCGCTTCCAGGAATTCAGCCGTGCCTATGCGGCTGCCCACGCCGACCACCTCCACCCCTGTGAGGTGGCACTGGACTGAGCGGCCAGGGGGAGCAGGGCACTGGGGAGGGGCTGGGAGAGGGTGGGTGGGGAGGGACAGCCTCCTCAGGGTCCCAGCTGCTTCTGAGGTGATAGCCACAACCAAGAGGAACACTGATGTCATTAGCCAGCGTAGATGGGAGTGTCCCATGCCTGAGCCTGGGCCATCTGAGCACCCCCCAGCCCCACTGCTCCGATTTCTGCTTCCGAGTAGGACGCTGAGGCTCTGGGCAGTGATGCCTTGTCTAAGGCCACCCAGCTAGTGAGTGGGAGAGTGGCCCGTGCCCGTGCCTTGAAGGCGAGCTGCCGCTTGGGTTGGGGGGAAGCAGGGACCCTTCCTTCCACGTGATCCTCAGCTCTGCTGCTCCTACCTTCGAGGCCGGGTTCTTCCGTAAGTGAGAATGCAAGCGGAAAAAGGGCTGTAACTCCCCAGGTCGAGGAGGGAGGGGTCCTTTACTGGGGGACAGGCAGGAAGACGGCACTCCTAGCCTGTGAGGGAAGGCGGTGCAATCTGGCAGGATGCCCGACTTCCCTCTGTGGTCCGCTGGGAGCCCAGCAGAGTCATCCTGGCCCCGTCCGATCCTCGGGGAAGAATGGCCCCCTCTGTCCTGAGGGCCCTGAGACGTGCGTAGCATCCGGACATGGCTCATCCTCACGGGAGCGGGGTCTCCTCTGCGGGGTCGGGCACCGTTTCTGGAGGGCAGGGTGATACAATGGGGTCTCTAAGGACCGTTTCCCGCCACCGGCCCCATTGTTGCTGCCTCCGCCTTCCTCTTCAGCCTCAGTCACATAAAAGGCCAGGGCAGTTTGGGACAAAGCCCTGTGTGGAGGCTGAATGCCCCTGGGGTGGGGGTGCATGCCAGGGCTTCTGAACCGGGACTGGCTGACTCTGCTCACTCCAACCCCACGCGTTCCTGAGGAAGCCAAAGCTCAGGGTGGGGGTGGGGCACCTGGACTCACAGGCTGAGCCCCAGAAACAGCTTCCCATCCTCATCTGCCAGTCTGCAGTGGGGAAGGAGCTGACGGTGGGCATGGAGGCCAGGGGCCGCCTCATCTTTCAGGCAGGAGCTGAGACTAAAAGAGAGGCCGGCCGGTCTGTGCAGGGCCCAGACACAGGGCTCCTTCCTCCAGATTTGGCTGACAGTTGTGGGTAGGGGAGGCAGGTTCCCAGGGGTTTGCAGCCACCTGCCCTCCTGAGGCTCACTGCCGCTCCCTTCTCCCCAAACTTTCAACCATGGAGTGCTCAGGGTCACGCAGTAGACCTCTCCTGTCCCTTGATATTCCCTCATCGGAGAGCTGGAGCAGCCTCGTGGCTTTAAAAACCATCCATGTGCTGATGACCCTGTGTTTTGATCTCCAGCCTGGACCTTTCCCATGGACTGCAGAGCGTCGTATCCCTGTCTGCCCCCTTCCCCTCACCGAAGAGCATCTCGGCAAAGACCAGAGGAGGAAGAGATGGGTGTACTCTCCTGATCCTCCTCCTCTGCTGGGAGGTTTCTGCTTTGTCCAGGCCCCAAGGACGGCTTCCTCTCCAAGGCTATCCTTACCCTTGGTATCTGTCCTGATTTTGTGGTCAGTTCCCCACAGCCTTTCATGCGAAGGAGGCCCCTGGCCACACCCAGGGGTCACTGTGGACTGCCTCCCAGACCACCTGCCCACAAAAACGTAGGGCGGCTGCTCTGGGCTGAGCCCTTGGTTGGACACTGGTCTCTACGCACCTGTCCCAGGAAGTGCCTGAGCCTCCCATGCACACCCTCTCCGCAAAGTGCTAACTTTGTAACTAGTATTCTTTTCATAAGGTGCAGAAAGTGCAGAAATGGGTATGGCTAACAGGGCTACAGGAGGCCTGGGGTGCTCCAGGTCATGCCCCAAAGTCTTGGGCCAGGGGCTTCATGCCTGCCCTGGGGGGCGGGGGCAAGGGGAAACGGTGTGGGTGAGCATGTATGTGGGGGCTGTGGGCTAAGGGAGCTGGCCTGTGGGGCACCTCTGGGCATGTGCACTCACACAGGTACGTGCCCAAGTGCTGAGGAGCAGAGCACCTGAGTAAACATGAGAGTTGTGGGGTGTGTGCACTGAGGAGTCTGGTTACGTGCATTCATTCAGTCAACAGCTTTTATTGAGTGCCTTCTAGGTGCCAGGTGCTGCCCTAGGAATAAAACAAGGAACAAAACACACAAGGGTGGGGTACTGTGTAAGCACCCCCCCCCCCAACTGCCTAGAGCCCAGTGTACAAACTTTCTTTCTGGGGAGGGCCCAGTGACAGTCCCACAGGAGACAGGATCCTGTGAGCCACGTGGGGCCGACCCTCCTCCCCAGTGCTCATTTCTTGGGAGCATGGCACTGGAGTTTCCTGCCACCCACAGGCGCCTGTCTTTCAGGACTGGGGCCAGTTGGGGACAAGTACAGGCAGGCATGTGAGGCGATGTATACCTGAAGGTGTGGGCAGGGCTCTTGGGCATGTTTATATTGTCTGATGCTGAGGCTCCTGACCAGGGCCGCGGATGTCCAAGGAGCCAGGCCATGACCTGTGTACATGAAAGCCCCTAACATTCACGAGACATCTCACCCAGCCTCAAGGTGGGATGAGGAGGTTCTGGCTCTGCCACCTGACCCAGGGCTCTGTCCCCCTATTTGTTTCTCCCACCCCCAGGCTTTGCCAGGTCACCTCCGGGAACTCATTTTTTTTTTTTTTTTTTTGCGTTTTTGGAGAAGGAAGGTGGTCTGCCTAGCTCTTGGGGCTCTTTCTTCCACTCCCGTGGCTGGGCCGGCTACCAGCCGGCCCCCGTCCGACCACACTCACAGCCAACATGTGCCTTCAGCTAGATCTCCTGGTCAACCCTACCTCTCAGCTGACCTCCCAACATCCGCCGCAACCTCCCCGTCCTGGCCACTCGGGCTAATTGCCTTCAGCTGTGGGACGGACCCGGGAGGGTGTCCTCCCTGAGCCCGCCCCCGGGCTTGGCTGGCCTTCGGGTGTCGCGGTGGGCGGGGACCTCCACCAGTCTCTCTGAGACAGCCTTGCGGCTCGGGCCGCCCCACACCCCGGGGATCCCTTCCCGCCAAGCTCCACGGCCGCCCCCCGCCCCGGCTCCGGCCACGCCTGCCTTGCCCTTCCCAGGGGTCCCCTGCGTGCGCAGGCTGGGCCGGTGCGGCTGGCGGCCGCAGACGTCCCAGTAGGACCCGGAACGCGCGGGAAGGGGGCCGAGCCGCGGCGGAAAGCGAGTGGAAGGCCGCTTCCGGCGCCCCGCCACTTCCGGTAGGGGGCGGGGAGGAGGGCCCCCTCCGGCTTCCGGCTCGCGTGTGAGGGTGTCCGACCCGAGCCCGGGAGGGGCCTTCGGGCGGGGCGACCCTGGGGCGCGCGTCCCGCCGCCATGGAGCAGGACGACCCGGGCGAGGCGCTGTCGGAGCTGCGCGAGCGGCGGCTGGGCGCGCTGGAGCTGCTGCAGGCGGCGGCGGGCTCAGGCCTGGCCGCCTACATCGCGTGGGCGCTGCTGCTGCAGCCTGGCTTCCGCCGCGTGCCGCTGCGGCTGCAGGTGCGGGGCGGGGCCATGGCTGGGGGCGGGGTCCGGGGGCGGAGCCGAACCCGCAGTGAGTGGGAGGCGCTGCCTCTCCCTGGCGGGCCGCGGGTGGGGACCTTGAAAGCTCAGGAGGCAAGCTCTGCGCGTCTCCCCCGCCCCCCCCCCCCCCCACGTGGGATCAGGTTTGGGGACCCAGCCCCGCTTGCCTCCTTGCCCAGGTGCCCTATGTCGGTGCAAGTGAGCGGCAGGTGGAGCACGTGTTGTCGCTATTGCGAGGCCGTCCTGGAAAGACGGTGGACCTGGGCTCTGGCGACGGCAGGATTGTAAGGAGTGGGATGCGGGGGGGGGGTGTCCTTGTCTCCCCCTCTCGCCAGCGCACCTCCCCACCTTCTGGACCCACAGTTGCGTGTGCCCACAGGTGCTGGCTGCTCATAAGTGCGGTCTCCGCCCGGCTGTGGGCTACGAGCTGAACCCGTGGCTAGTGGGGCTGGCCCGGCTGCACGCGTGGAGAGCAGGCTGTGCCGGCAGTGTTTGCTACCTGCGTGAGGACCTCTGGAAGGTAACCCAGGGAGTCCCGGACCCCCAGGGGCCCCCACGCCTGGTCTCCACACTTCCAGCTCTGGGTTGGCCACCCTGCTGACAACCCCGGGTTCCCCTGCCTGCACCCGCGTGGGCTGGGGCCAGGACTTGGAAGCCACAGTTACCCCAAGCTCACCACACCTCTTCCTCGGCTGGGGCCCCGCTCCCTGCTGGGGTGACCTCTTCTTGCAGGTGAGCCTGAGGGACTGCCACAACGTATCTGTGTTCCTGGCCCCTAGCGTGGTAGGTCTGGGGTTTGCTAGCCCCAGGGGAGGCCCGGGCCACCCTCCGTGGAGGGGTTGGGCCTGGAGGAGCTGGGCAGGGGCAGTTGTATTCAATCTTGCCCACCCTGTCCTCCTTCCTGCTCTCTCTCCCACAGCTCCCCCTGCTGGAAGACAAGCTGCGGGCCGAGTTGCCCGCAGGGGCCCGAGTGGTGTCGGGGCGCTTCCCCCTCCCCACTTGGCAGCCTGTGGCTGTGATGGGGGAGGGTCTGGACCGTGTCTGGGCCTATGATGTCCATAGTGGTGGGCCAAACGGTCAGGCTTCCCCAGAACCCAGTTCTGCCTCAGTCCCTGGGGCCCCCCGTTCTCAGGTTGGCTGACCACTTGGACACAATAAAGACTCTGGACTACACGTACTGACTCTTGTTAGGTGGAGGGTTGGGTGGCATGACCCCTGCCCGCAAGGGGGTGCTGTGAGGAGGGTTCCATGCCGGATGCGAAGAGTTCTGCTGAGTGCATTTGACAGCTGGCTAGCGGCTGCGGGTCTTGGAGTGCTGGGGCTTGACTGGAGGGGTGGCCCCCACTTTGCAGGCGTCCTCTGTACCCATTAGCTTCCTCAGCCTCAGGATCTCTTGTTTGTACCTGCTCAAAGGAGTCAGGCTTAGTCACCTGCCTGGCTGTGCACAAGCCCTGACTCTCTTGCCTGGAGCTGAGGCCCTCAGTTCACTCCCAGCCCACCTGCCTAAGTGCTGGTCCACATAGTCCTGTAGCTCAGAAAGTTGCTCCTCAGCCATCGTGGCCCGGACTAGTAGCTTTGCCCGCTCGCGTTCCAGCTCTGCCTGGCATGGGGAGGGCAGAAGCTCTGAGGCAGGACAGAGTGTGAGGAGGGGGTCCCCAGCCAGGCCTTGCCCACTACCTGGGTGCCACGGGAGAAGTCCTGGAACTTCTGGTGGATCTGGGCCCAGGAGGCAGGTTCCTGGCCCCTGGGAGGAGAGAGGGAGGGGCATGTATGAGGGCCAGCATCAGGCCAGGTGTTGACCAATGATCATGCTCAAATTGGGGCACCTAGATTCCTGACTTGCCTGCTGGGAGCCAGTGCAGAACTGCATGGACCCACCTGTCCACTTTGGGCCCCCCTTGGGCCTTTGAGCCATCTGTACAGGAGGACAGCCCTCCCTGTACAGGGACTCAGAGAGGGCTAAGTCGCGAGGTAACATAGTGACCCCAGTGCTGTATGGATGTTGATGGAGGACTTCCCCCCCATTCTAGGGGTTTGCTTCTCGAAACTCGGAGTTGCGCTGACATATTTCCTGCCCACTGTAGTCAGACACACGGAGATCTAGAGGCAAGGGCTGTGAAAGTCACCAGGCGGCCCGCCCCTATCCCGTCCTGGGGCCAGGGCCTCTGCTGGCCATCCCACCACACCTCTTCATCCTTCCGTCCTCTGGGTCTTGCTGAAATGTCCCTTCCTCAGGGTCTCTCCCTGATCCTTCTATTTTTTTTTTTATTATTTTTTTTAACGTTTATTTATTTTTGAGACAGAGACAGAGCATGAACAGGGGAGGGGCAGAGAGAGAGGGAGACACAGAATCTGAAACAGGCTCCAGGCTCTGAGCGGTCAGCACAGAGCCTGACGCGGGGCTCGAACTCACGGACCAGGAGATCATGACCTGAGCCGAAGTCGGACGCTTAACCGACTGAGCCACCCAGGCGCCCCTCCCTGATCCTTCTAGTCACGGTTAGCCCCTCTCCTGTCAGGCACCCCCTTCACCCCAGGCACTTGGCTTTCTGTGACTGTTGATGCCCCCCATATAGACCGAGACCCAAGGACACAGATGGGCCTCCCTGTTCTCCCAACCCGCAGTTAGAGTTGGGGGAATAAATTGAATGCTCTCCCCACAGATCTCCCCAACACACGCCCCAGGGTACTCACTGTGGCTCTGATGTGCTCCCCTGGGAGGCTCCACTGGGTCCCTTCTGTAGGAACAAGAGCAGCGTCATGAGCCCATTGGACTGGAAAGG